CGTCCCAAAGCTTCAAAATTAAATAACGTTAACACTTTGCAGGTCTGCGGCAACTGTTGTGATCCAGCATAAAAGAGGTGAAAGGGAAATGTAATAAATTTTAGAAATAGCGCTTCTCCGTCGCCCAGAGGTCACCGCAGATACCGCACGTACTAGTTTACGCATTAGCTTCGCGTTCATACCTCATTGTTATTTAGATTCATCGGTAAGACTGGACAATCTTGGAACATGTTAAATGAGGTGATAGGTCGGCAAGTCAATTTTTGAAAATCCTGAAATGAGCAGACTGAAAAAAGGAATTAAGAAATAACAATCAACCTGGGAAAGACAGCAACTGGAACAATGAGTGTGAGGGCAGCCCAGAAGTCTGTGGTAGCCATGGCACGTATTGCAATATCAATGGGCGGATCGTTGAGATACCAGTACGGTGATGCAAGATAATCCTCCATAAGAAAGTAAGCAAAATGAACGACTGTGAAAAAAATATTAACACACGCCACTGGAACCGTCTAAAACTCATCATAAAAAAAATTTATCATTTTAAATCCAGAATGATATGCAAAATTCAAAAAAATATCGAAACGTTTCGGGATTGCGTAGATTGTAAAAATCCTGAGATGGTAACACCTACCCAGCAGTGAACTTGAAGTGCCAGGTGAGCTGTATTCACCATAAATATTGAGGTGGCCAAAAGAAAACCAAATGTTCGGAAATTAGTTGTTGTATCCCAGTATGTCTAAAAGCTTTAAATAAAAAGAAAAAATTGGCCGCACGCTGACTACCAGTATGAAGATGCGCTTTTTGTATAGCTCCCTGCAGACTTTTGTTGCTAACGGCATCGGTTTTTCCGACAGATGCTTCTAGCTAGGGAACTGAGACTGGCCGCAAGGGCTGCCACAAAACGTCCCCGAGTTAGCAGCTTGCCTGCCAAAAACTTTGGCGGGCTCGAATGTGGGTACCACGCTGATAAGAGTGCCCATTTTGGGAAGAGGGGCCCGTACTTACATGCAGAT